AACCATCTTATACATGTGTAGTATGATCTCGTATGTAAACACTACGCATGTGTATTAAATATATAGAAATCTCTGGAGGGATCACACCCAACCTGTTCTTAGTGTTTCATTCTGAGATGTGGCATTGGAGGGAAGAGAGAAGGGCTTCCCTCTTAACTGTACCCACTTCTGTACTGTTTTAAATTACAAAATAACAATTATATATGGCTCTTACAATTTTAGACAAGACAGAAAAATAAATAGAATAATAAACCGTATTACATGTCAAAGGGTCTACAAAATATATATACACAGACTGTGAGGATTTTCTTCTGTGGTCAGATGCAAATTGTGAAAACTGAGACATGTTGACGATTCTTTTTCCCCTGATTTCAAAGCACCCTCAGTCCGCACGGCAGCCGCCACCTCTGATTCATCTAGTTTGAGGTCTGTTCATGCAGCAGATGGAAGTCAGCATGCCCTTGGGACAACACGGCAGGGGTGGAGGGTGATAACGCTTCCCTTTCTCTCCTTTAGAGTGAGGGTGAAGGCGACAATCAGCTGCCCCTTCCCATGGGGTAGCACTGTGATGGGAAAGAGTGAGGCAGAAGAGGCTGGGACTGCCCCACTGCAAATATCTGGCTGGCAGACACACCTAGGAAGGCTCTTAGCCATCCATGAAGAAGCCTACACATTAGAGTTATTTTTCCAGACTCCAAACTTTCTAAGCAGTGATATTTATCCACCTATCTTATCCAAGTTTTTCAGTGAAATGTTTAAAATGTACACATTACTCCAAGCAGAGCAGAAGAATATAACGACTTCATTGTTTTCCTTCCTGGCATCCTCTGCATGTCCCTTGACCCTGGCTCTTCCTGCCTGACTCGGGAGTTCTCCATCATTGGCACTGTTTCCATCATTCTTGGAATCAGACAGGAGATATACCAAGCCTGTGGCCCAAGGGTTTCTTGTCAACACCCCAGAGAATTGTGAGCTTACTGGAGAGTCCCCAGAGCAGTGGTTCCTGTCTAATGGGAACTTGCACCCCAGGGGACACTTGGCAATGTCTGGAAACACTTTTGGTTGTCACATCTTAGGAGGAACTCTTGGCATCTTGTGGGTGGAAACCAGGGATGCTACTATAAAAAACCTCCAATGCACGGGGAAGCCCCCACAACACAGAATTATCTGGCCCAAAATGTCAACAGTGCTGAGATTGAGAAACCTTGCCCTAGAGCCTCACTACTCAAAAAGGGGTCCATGGACAAGTAGCATTGGCATGTCCTGGGAGCTTGTTGGAAATGCAGAATCCCAGGCCCCACACAAACCCCAAGTTGAGATAGAGCAGAAGATGAATAACCCCTATGTCAATCAGGATAGGCTAGTCAGTAAACCTTCGTGTAGAGGGCCAGATAGTAGGTACTTTAGGCTTTGAGGGCCAGATGATCTCTGTTGCAACTACTCAACTATGCCTTTGTAGTGTAACAGCAGCCCTACATGCTAAGTAAACAAATGCACATGGCTGTGCTCCAATCGTTTGGCCAGCATCACTTTGCTGACCCCTGGACAAAGTCCATTTGTGGAAACAAATGATCCCCCAAATAGTGAAGATTATTTCTCATGCACACTGCATGTCCATCATGAGTTGTCTGAGGTCCCTGTGCCATGCCAGCCCCGGTCAGGAACCCAGGGTCCCAGATTCTACCATCACAACCTTCACTGATCATCAGGGAGGGAAAACACATAGCAGGCACGGCACATGTGGTGCACAGACCAAGCATGCATTTGCTCCTGGAGCTTCCACCTGAAAATACCACCCACCTCTCTCATATTTTATTGGCCAAAGCAAGTCATCTGGCTGTGCCTAAATTCAAGAGGGTAGGAACATATTCCCAGAAGGATGGCAAGGCCTAATGACCACGCCTAATGACCACCTGGATCTCCTCTCCTCAGAAATCCCAGCCCTACCATAGGCTTAATTCATTCCATCTATGAAATCCATTAACTATCTGGATAGACTTGAGCAGAGTTGCATCTCAGATTAGGCATGGACCACTTAGTGGTGAGTTCATCTCTTCCTCATGCCTTTATAAGGAGTAACAGTACAAGCATACATTTATGTGATTGTCTGTACTGTGCCAGGCACTGAGCACTTAATATATTTCATTTATTTCCAATCTCACAACAGTTCTAGGAGGTGAATGTTATCTGCCTTTTACAAATAAGAAAACCTGAGACCAAGAGGTGATGTAGCCTGTCCAAGGCCACCAGCTGGTAAATGGTAGAGTTAGGATTCAAGTTCAGGTCTGTCTAACCTCAAAGCTTGTACATTTTAACATCATCTTTTGTTTTTGTTGTTGTTGTTTGTTTGTTTTTTTGAGACAAGTTTCACTCTGTCACCCAGGCTGGAGTGCAGTGATGCCATCTCAGCTGACTGCAACATCTGCCTCCCAGGTTCAAGCAATTCTCGTGCCTCAGCTTCCCAAGTAGCTGAGATTACAGGAGCAAACCACCATGCCCTGCTAATTTTTTGTATTATTAGTAGAGATGAGGTTTTATCATGTTGGCCAGGTTGGTCTCAAACTCATGACCTCAAATGATCCGCCTGCCTCAGCCTCCAAAGTGCTAGGATTACAGACATGAGCCACTGCACCCGGCCTATACTTTTTTACTTTTAATCTTCACAATAATCTGATGGGGTATGTATCATTAGACCCATTTTACTGATGAGGAAAAGGGGCCAAGAAGTTAAGAAATGTGTCCAGGCTCACATATTCAATGGTAGAATCAAGATTCCAACCCAGATCTACTGACACTGAAGACTGCGCTTCTAACAGTTTCTAGTACTGGGACATCTGTTCCGTAACTGAGGCCCTAAGGCACTGTAGGTGCCTTGCCCATATCCTTGAATCTTACCACTTCAGAGGGCATCAGCTGACTGTCAACTGTTAGGACTTCTGTCTCTTTGCTTGAGGGCTTTCTCAGAAGTCACACAAGGAAGACATTCCCTGTCTGGGCTCAGGGAAATTCGGAAGAGCTGAGAGATGGCCACTGGAGAACCAGCACCTTGCCCCCACCCAAACTTTCAACCAAAGATTGGCAGAGTAGATGTGAAACATCCCAGCTCCCTTGCCTCCTGGGTCCAATAACTAGGCGTGTACTCTACACTGGTTCCCAGAGGCCACAGTAAGATAAAATTATAGTTATCTTCAGTAGCAGCTGACTCAATCACATACTCATTATTGGCTATTATCTTGGATCGTCAGAGTTCACAAATAAAAATTACAGGATCCCCAGTTAACTTTGAATTTCAGATAAAACTGATAGTTTTTGTAGTGTAAGTATGCTCCAGGCAATATTTGGGACACATACTTAAAAAAATTATTCTTTATTTGTCTGAAAAATATTGCATAGGACATGCTTATATTTAAAAAGTACTCATTGTATGACTTTCTAATTTAACAGGCTTCCTGAATTTTACCTGGCAACCCTACAACCAGTCCTTTCCTAGGTCATGGCCTCACTTCCCTATCTCCATCTCCAACTACACCGCTTATATTTGAATCCTTGTCTCAAAGTCTGTGCTAGGAGGAGCTCAAATAAGATGTAGGGTGACATAAGGAGCCAAACATGTCTGCACACAAAGAGATTTTACTGATGCTTAAGGGCCATCTGGACCCCATTGGAGCCAGGACAGTGGGGCCACCAGCCAACCTCTACGAGAACCATTTTGAATTCAGTGTATATGAAAGAGAGAAGGCTTTCTTCCCATATTGCCACTATTATTATAGCTGGAGGCTTACTGTGGGCGGTAACTCTTTATCTTCTCATTATATGCTCTTCCGATCAGCATTGAAAGACGTGGACATTTCTAGGCACTTCTTATCTGGGATTTCCTCCACTGAGTTGAGCATCAACAGATCAGACAAATACTCGGGATGACATAGTCCCTCCTTGGACCAGATCCTGCTGCCACTGAATACCCATCCCACCCACGATCTTCTTTCTTAGCATACCTTGATTTTGCTCACCTTCTTCAGAGCAGCTGCATTCTTCAGGAGAAGCCTGAGCTATCCACAGAGAGTGACTCTTTTTTCAGTGCAAATCAACCATGATAATACCATTGTCTCTGCCAATATGTGGTTTAGAAATGGATATGAGATGCACTTCTGGCCAGGGGGACATGAGAGGCCATATGGGAAACACCTAAAAAGAGGCTCCTTTATTGTGACCCTTGACCTCCTAAGAGGCACGAGTAGTGGATGCTAGCTGTACCACCCAGATCCTCTTTCAAGACAGGCACTTTCCCCATACCCGCCAGGAGTGCTTTATCCGAGGTCACCCCACCACCACCCACTCAGCGTCAGCACACATCCAATGACTAGTCAATGGAGAGGCACAAAGGTCCAGCCTCTTGCCACAGTTTTGGAAACTCTGAAGCTCCATCCCAGCTCCAGAGGGCCCTGTGAGTTCAGCTGAGGCCTCCGTTGCAGCCACATCATAGCTCAACTCCTCCTTTTGGCCAACCTTGCCTCTCTCACTCCCTAACAGCTGTTGTTCCTGAAAATATTCTCCAACAACCTCCCTGCGCACAAATTTCCATTTCAAGGAACTGGTGTTAAGACAACATATGAGGAGCAAGTTCCCTTTTTCACAAGCAGATATTGCTTTCTACACATGGAACTACAGCAGCCATCTTGGGGCCATGAGGGGAACCAGCCTAAGAAGATAAGTCCATGCTCTGAGGACAACAGAACAAAAAGATAGAAAGAACCTGGGTCTTCAATGATGTCATTGAGCTGCTAAATTAACCTGCTCTAGAACTGCCCTACTTCCAGGATTCTGGTTATGCCAGCTAATAGATATTCTTTGTCATAAAACCTCTTTAAGTTGAATCTTATGTTGCCTGCAGCCCAAATCACACTTTAAATTACATACTACATATCAGTAGGAGGCAAAGGGAAATACTTCAAGTCAAGGAAGTGCCCAGAATAGCATGGATTCCAAAATCCGGTACTTACGTGACTTGCCAGAGTACTCCAAGTCCAGATGCAGTCCCCTCATCTTAACTACTGTGACACTTGTCCAGATGCAGTCCTCTCATCCTAATCACTGTGACAATTCCCTCTCCTTTTTATACCACTGTTGTCCAGTAACGCCAGAGGCTAAGAAGTATGCAATTCTTTGCACAACCCTGAGAAAGAAGAAATCCCTAGATAATATTTTGACACCTTGTAATTCATGGAACAGCCATGCCTCTATTTCACTTTCTCCTTCTTTTCTTGTTACTTAGAAAGAAAATAGCAGAGAAACATGTCAGGCCAAGAAAGGCTAAATCATCCCAAGCGATGTCAACCTCATAAATATTATGAAATACTGTAGGATGTTCAAAAAATATTTATACAGTTTTGCCCCCTCTTGTGATGAAGGAAGTCATTGAGCTGCATCCCCAGGCCTTTTGACATCTCAGTAGCCCTGTCTCAAAAGTCAGGGGTGCCTTTGGCACACAAGCTGTTGTCAGTGAGCTAAAGATCAGACAATCTGTGCATTAAGTGCCTAAATACACAACTCAAGCATGTGGCCATTTTTGCCTGAGTCTTTATTTTAATCAGTTATATAGAAGATTGGAAGTAAGATCAAGGGCTCTGGAATCAAACAGTATAGAGTTAAGTGCTAGACTGTGGACAAATTATTTAACTATTCTGTGCTTGTTTCAACATCATCTATATAATGGAAATATTAATAGTACCAGTCAGCTTGGACTAAGTTATGCCACAGTAACAAACAGCCTTAAAATCTCAGTGGCTGGCAACAACAGAAGTCCATTGCTTATTAGAGACACATGTCCACTGTTGGCTGTGGCTCAATTCCATGTGATCTTCATCCCATAATGCAGATTGACATGGAAGCCTGTATTTGGGATACTGTCAATCTCATGGCAGGGAAAAAGAGATCCTGGCAGAACCACACAATGATTGTCAAAGCTTCTGCTTGGAAGTGGCACACATCAACTCTACCCAAGCTTTATAGCCCAAAACTTGTCACACAGCAAGACTAAAGCCATGGAATGGAAAGTATAATTCTCGCACATGGAGAAGATGCCAGTGTTTTGGACAGTAATACAATCTACCACATAAGCATGCAGGATTGTTCTGAGAATTGAAGGTAAAGGGAAGAAAGTAAGGTTTCAAAAAGTTAGCTATTATGAATATTAGTGCCATCGTTTTAAGTTCTAAGTTACTAATTGGGATAAGAAAGTTTTTATAAATGGTTTCTTCTATTCAGTAGTCATTTAGATTAAGCTTTTAAAGTGCTGACTCAAGAGCATGTGGATTATAAGGTTCTGTGAATCAGTAACCAAATAAATAAAGTTTATTGGCATAAAAGTAATGTCTGCTACATGAAGATGCTGTGAAGATTAAATGAGACGCCTGCAAATTCTTTGTCACTTTTCCCATTGAAAGTGAGTCTAATTCTCCTCCCCTGGAATCTGAGCTGACTTTAGTGACCTACTTGACCAACAGAATGTGGCAGAAGTAATGTGTCAGGGCTTCTGAGGCTAGGTCATAGAAGCCTTGCAGCTTTATTCTAGCCTTCTTAGAACCTCTTAGAACACTTGTTTTTGGAGCCGTGAGCTGCCACATAAGTGAGAGGGGGATCCAGCTGACTCCAGTCTTCTGGTCTTCTGTGCCAAAGTGCCAGATATTTGAGTAGAGCCATCGTGAAGCCATCAAACTAGCCTGTCAGTTTAACACCACCAAACAACCTTGGTTGATCTCTTGTAGAGCACAAGAATCACCCTGCTGAGCTCTGCCTGAATTCCTGGCTCACAAAATCATGAGATAGAATAAAATGGTTGTTTTAGCCACTAACTTTTTGATAGTTTGCTGTTTAGCAATAGATAACCAAAACACATGCAAGCCCTTAGCAAAATATCTGACTCATAATTGCTTTGGAAATTAATTGCTAATATCATTGGGTCTTGGGTAGACTCACAACTTACCTTCCCCCATTTAGTTTGTAATGCCCATGACTTAAAACTGAAGAAAGGATGGTAAAGACAAAACTTTAGTCAAATGTTTTAGTCTCCTTGACATTTTCCTAAATGTCCAAAAGGGAAGCCATAAACATGTAAGACAATAAGCCTAGGACTTTCAGGAATCCCCTGACTTCCCTTGGGTTCATTGGATACACATGTGCCTAAATCTTTCAAGAAAGCTAAAATTCAGTATTTTAAAATTGCTTAAACTTTCAGGTAAAATTGACGCAACTACAAGGTGTCTTATGTTCACCTGGTGGTTCTATGTATCCTTCAGCTTTGTACTCATTTTAAGAAGTAAGGACCTAGATTCTAGAGTTGGAAAATTGCCATATTCAAGAATAGATGAGCATGTATGTCTGGGCTGGTGCCATCTCTTTTGTTGTTGTTATTATTGTCATTGACTTGTTTATATTCTCAGCATAGGGACTTGGCCATTTTAGGTAGAGGTTAAAACAGAGAGATACTATATGTTCCCCAAATTTCACTCTTTTTCCACCTGGGGACACAGCTAGACCATATTTCCCAGGATCCCCTACAGTTAGATGGGACCATGTGACTGAGGTGTGGCCAGTGGAATGTGGACAGCAATGATGGACACCACTTCAGGGCCTGGTCCCTGGAAAAACTCCTGTGTGACACTTCACTTTTTCCTCCCTCATCTGGAAGACAATCCAGGAAGAATTCTGTGGCCCTAAAAGATGGTAGAACCCTAACACAAAGGAGCCTGGGTCCCTGAGTAGCTGAGTGGAGCAGATCTCCATTTCCATCCCCACCAGGCTGACCAGCACTGGGCTGTGACCTTAGTGAGAAATAAGCCCTGATTACAGTAAGCCCCTGAAATGAGGGGTTGTTTTGTTCTAGCAGTGAGGCTGTCTTAAGGAATACAAAGATATAGGGCGGGGAACATGTTGTGGCTTTCCCCCATCTCCAACATGTGCAAGCCGAGGAGCCGCAGTGCCTTTGTTGGAGAGTTTACTGACAATAGTTACGCTGCCTGTCACAACTCCCAGAAGAAAGGAAACAGTGGCTGAGAGGGCTGCCCCTGCCCTCCCCAGTCTCCTAAGGGTATAAAGCATGAATCTTTTCTTCGCTCTTTCTCTCTGCAGGGGAACAGCGGGAAGATATCTAGCACAACATGTTCTGCTGGCTCCAGTGACAAGTCGATGAAATTCTATCACTCGTCCGACAGGAGACCTCAGAAGTGACTAATTTAATCCCTGAGGTCTCTTTAGAAGGAGAATCCTCAACTTTCTGGGCAACTCCTCCCTTTACTCTGCCTGGTTTCCACAAAGCAAGATAGTCAGTCACACTCAAATCAGCTCAGCAGGGAGCAGATATTCTTAGAGTGATTCTTCCCTAATTTGGCTGACTGAATTGAATAGCTATTTATTAGAGTTCTAAAATGGTGCCTTTTGCGTAACATGGCCTTCGCGCCATTCCCTGGAAATCACTCTGTCGAGAATGTAGGAAGGGGAAGATGCATCTGCCTTGAGCGAGGCGGGATAAACCAGTTTCTGGGGCCAGGCCAGACTGGGAGGCAAAGAAAGCAGCATCTATTACAACCTTCTTCAGTCTCAGGACTTGGATGTCCTTGGCCGCTATTCCCCAAGACCAGATTAATGTAGTGGTGGGTGACTCAGAAAGGAGACAGCCCAAATCTGGAGGTCACACAGACCTAAGCAGACTAGCACCTGCTACCAGCTGTGTGACCTAGGGATGTAAGTCAACCTTTCTGAGCTCCTGTTTCTATACCTAGAATATGGAGGTGCATAAAATCTAACTCATAGAGTTCTTAAAAAGGGGTGAATGAGGGCTGAGCATGGTGGCTCGTGCTTATAATCCCAGCACTTTGGGTGGCCAAGATGGATAGATCACTTGAGGTCAGGAGTTCAAGACCAGCCTTGCCAACATGGTAAAACCCCACCTCTACAAAAAATACAAAAATTAGCCAGGCATGGTGGCATGCACCTGTAGTCCACAGCTACTCAGGAGGCTGAAGTGGGAGGATCGCTTAAGCCCAGAAGGTTGAGAGGTTGAAGCTGCAGTGAGCTGTGATGGCACCACTGCACTCTGGGTGACAGAGTGAGACCTTGTCTCAATCAATCAGTCAATCAATGAAATAATTAGTGAAATGCCTGACTTCATTGTAACTCTCCCTCACTCACCTTCTGGAATCTTCATAGTCACTAAATTCAAGTCCAAATTCTTGCAATTGACCTTGCCATCTGTATTAGTCAGCATTCTCTAGAAGGGCAAACTAATGGAATATTATATTATAATATATAATATATATAATATATTTATATATATAGTATATATTTTATATATATATATCAATCGGTTCTTTAAGTATTAACTCACATAATCACAAGGTCCACAATAGTCATCTGCAGGCTGAGGAGCAAGGAGAGCCAGTCTGAGTCCCCAAACTGAAGAACTTGGAGTCTGACGTTCAGGGACAGGAAGCATCCAGCACAGAGAAAGATGTGGGCTGAGAGGCTAGGGCAGTCTAACCTTTTCACATTTTTCTGCCTGCTTTATATTCCCTGGCAGCTGATTAGATGGTGCCCATCCAGATTAAGGGTGTGTCTGCCTTCCTCAGCCCATTGACTCAAATGTTAATCTCCTTTGGCAACACCCTCACAGACATACCCAAGATTAAGACTTTGCATCCTTCAGTCCGATCAAGTTGACACTCAGTATTAACCATCACACCATCTTACTGCTCCTTGGTGGCCATTAATGTGAAATTTGCAGGGGAAATGAGCTAGAAAAACAAGCTTGAGATTTCAGAGCAGTAGCCATAGTGGACCTGGTAGCTGAATCTCCACAGAACCTTAGAGGAGAATAGGGAATAGCACCTCTATCTAACACTTAAGTGGGCTCCTGTATGACCCCAAGTCTCCTAACCACCTATGTCAATCTCTACCCTGCAGTACTGAACAGGAAGAAATTGGAGGCTGGTTGGCAGACCACACCACACTCTCCCGTCATACTTGAAACACATCATGAGATCATCCAGAAGCCAGGGATTACAAATACATGGCATGCATCTCAC